ATCGGTGCGAGTTTTCGTGTATCTTGTATCAAGTGGTGTAGTACTAGCCGGAGACTTGAATGCATAGGTCGGGCGTCTAGGCACAGAAGAGAGTCGTTTAGGTGGCCGATGGGGACTCGTTGGTCGCAGGTCAGATAACGGGGACCGTCTACTGCAACTGTGCACAGACCACAACCTGTTTCTGGCTAGCACTAACTTTCGGCACAGTCATCGCCGATGTGCCATCTGGCGTCCTCCCTCTGCATCTGAAGCCTGGACTCAGATTGATCACATCGCGATCAGCTACCGCTGGCGTGGTTGTGTACAAGACTGCCGCTCCTTTTGGAGTACTTATCTGGACTCTGACCATGCCTTGGTCTGCGCCAATCTTGCCTTACTTTTCAGTGGACAACGAAGTGACCACTATCAACGGATTGATATTAGCAAGCTGGTTGCAACTTCTGTTGCAAGTAAGTATCGAACCGAGCTAGCCTCTAGGCTAGCTACCATTCCACCGAAAAGTATAGATGAGCATTGGTTGCAATTGCATGACGCCATGAAAATGGCGGGTACAGTCAGTTGTGGGTTCGCAAAACGTCCCGCTTATAAGCACTGGGTTTCTGCAGGTTCCTTACAACTCATTGAGGCCCGTCGGTCTACTCCGGGTGACCGTGAGTTTGATCATAAACGAAGGATGTTACGTAAGGAAATCGGGCAAAGCTTGCGTAAGGACCGTGGAGCCTGGTGGTCGAAGCGTGCTAATGAGCTGGAAGCAGCAGCTGCATCTGGTAACTACCGGAAGCTCTTCCAGCTCATCCGAGCCACTGGCAGCAAGAAGTCTGGTGTGAGTGAAACAATCTGCGAGGATGACGGGATGCCAATCACTAACATCCATCGACGTCTTGGACGATGGGCAGAATTTTTCGAAGCGCAGTTCAACTGGCCTGCTGCTCCGGCAACATCGGTCAGACTGTCCTGCCCTCCATGGCCGGTGACGACTGATCCACTAAATGGAGCGGAAGTCCGCAAGGAACTCCAACTCTTGAAACGCTACAAATCACCTGGCCCAGATGACTTACCTCCGGCCCTTTTTAAAGATGGTGGTGACTTTCTGACTAAGGAATTGACGACGTTGTTTACAAAGGTTTGAGAGCTAGAGAGTGTACCGACTTCATGGAATGAGTCGATAGTTGTCCCTATCTTTAAAAAGGGTTTACGACGTCCCTGTAACAACTATCGGAGGATAAGTCTACTTCCGATTGCGTCCAAGCTATTGGCTTCCGTCATTCTTCGTAGGTTGTTCAAAACCCGAGAAAGATTGACTCGCGAGGCGCAGGCTTGTTTTCGTTCTGGTTCAGGATGTATTGATCATATCTTCACCCTCCGCAAAATGTTAGAACACCGCCATACTTACCAAAGGCCAACAATCGTAGTGTTTCTTGACATCAGGGCTGCCTTCGATTCGTTGGACAGGACTGTTCTCTGGGATTGTCTATTGAAGAAGGGTGTGCCTGAGAAGTGTATTAACATCCCAAAAGCCCTATATAAAAACACCTCAGGCAGAGTGAGGGCATACAACCACCTCTCTCCATTGTTCCATTCGAGTAGTGGGGTTAGACAGGGTTGCCCAATCTCACCATTCCTCTTCAACTTTGCCATCGATGACATTCTGGAAACAGCTCTGATGAATGTAAGTAATGGTGGTGTGGATCTGTTGCCTGGAGAAAGACTTCTCGACCTTGAGTATGCGGACGATATTGTCTTACTGTGAGATAATGCCCAAGGCACGCAATCCGCACTTAATCAGTTGGCAATCAGTGTCCGTAGGTATGGTATGTGCTTTGCACCTTCCAAGTGCAAAGTACTTCTACAAGACTAACAGGATTCCAATCCTGTACTCACCCTGGATGGTGAGCAGATAGACGTAGTCGAGAAGTTCGTGTATCTGGGTAGCTGCATAAGTGCTGGTGGGGGTGTGAGTGATGAGATCAATACACGTATAGTGAAAGCCAGAGCGGCTTATGCCAATCTGGGCCGTCTTTGGCGCCTTCGTGATGTTAGTCTGACTGTAAAAGGTCGGATCTACAACGCGTCGGTGAGAGCAGTTTTGCTCTATGCTTGTGAAACCTGGCCTCTCCGAGTTGAGGACGTTAGACAACTCTCTGTGTTCGACTATCGCTGTCTCCGAAGGATTGCTGACATCCAGTGGCAACACCATGTTAGTAATGCAGAGGTTCGGCATCGTGTGTTCGGGCGCAGAGATGATAATTCTATTGGTGTCACCATCTTGAAACACCGACTTCGGTGGCTTGGACATGTTCTCCGAATGTCTTCCCAGAGAATTCCACGTCGTGAATTATTTGCCGACTCTGGGACTGGTTGAAAGAAGCGGAGAGGTGGTCAGTGTATGACATGGTGTCGTGGTATGAAAGAAAGCTGCAAAGGACTGGCTTCTGTTGGTCCTTCACGACTCCCTGGTTGGGGTCTGAGAGACGGTGCAACACAGTGGCTAGAGACGTTATCAGATATGGCTTAGAATAGAAGCCAGTGGCGATCCTGCTGTAACCCTCTTTTACTTTCTTCATAAAAAGTGGTTGTGTCTCCCTTACCTGAAAGATTTCTTCCGATTGTAACTTGGCGTTCCCTCATTACTACCACACTACCTTACACCGATCTCTTCGTTATTGTTCTCTTTTTTTTTTATTTCTTTTTGAATTCTCATTGTTTTGTGTGGCGCATATATGTTGGCGCTCTCTTGTACCAATATTTATGTGTTCAAATAGATAAATAAATAAATCAAGTGGTGTTCTATGTAAATTGAAATCTAATTATTTTCCTGAAAGCGTGGTTTCGTGTTCACTTTTAGTTGTGCATGAAATTTTCAGGTACTATCATTCAGAATTCGCATTATTTAGAAATACCATATGGTATAAATTATTATCATTAACCTACAAACCAATATATATAGACCGAAAATTCTCCACATTGTCCTGGCCAGTATTCGCTAGCCTCAATGTTTCTATGTATTCTTTGGACTTTGTGTGTATCCTTAGTTCTCTTTGATCAATATAATTATTTTGAGATAGCCGAAAATCGGAGCGCTCAGCGCAACTGTTGAAAGGGCTAATTTGGTTCATATACACTAAGGATATATTTCCTTTGTTTAGTCAAGTAACTAATTACCGATTGACATCACGTGTTGAGCCTTTCAAAAACTTTGTGATTGTTTACTCTTATCGTTTGTTGCAATGTCAGTCTATCTGATTGTTACAAAAATCCATTTCAACCTATAAAGATACAAACCACATTTTTGTATCCTCAAGGTCAGTCATCTACAAGGTAGGACCACGCATATATACGCGTTGTTCCAAGTTGCCACACCTCATTAGCACAACAAGATGTACACCAAATTCATAAAAACAATCACTTCAATGGTAGTAATGTTTGAACGAAAGATTGTGTATAAGAATATAGTACAGGAAGAAAGAATTAGTTCGTAGAAAGAAAGGTGTAAAATAATTTTAATCCCATCGTTTAAAGGAAGACATAAAGTGTATACGCCGACGCCATTGTGATCAATTTCGAGCCATGTCACCAAGAGTCTCTAACCATTGGTCATGATATTTGCGCAGACCCCAACTAAGTAGTTTGCATCAACCAGCATGGCACAGGCTGGAAGTTAGTGACTTCAAGCACTGATGCACAGCACTGAAACAACATAAGAACTACAACGAATACTTAGATCACACAGAATTAAAAAATTCTATAAAATAACGAACACTTCGAAGTGCTTTAGTTCAAATCAAGGACAAAATCCCTATCGCTTCAACACAACAGTGTGCCAACAGACTAGGATGTGTAGACTATGGTGCACTCTTTTCTGGGCAACCTTCTCGTGAAATCAAGGCTTGTGCCAAACAGCATCCAGGCTACACAAAAATACCTCCAAATAATCATTTAGAACTAGAAAATCTACAAATCAAATTAGCAATAACAGTACATGTTATTATCTAGCAACTACCAAATGAATATTAATAATGCCAAAATTACCCAGAAAGGAATACAAGTATCATCTTTCACACCCGCTAACACACACAACGACATACAACTAGGTATCACAAAATATGAAATAACCTTGTTCGAAAGAAAATAATAACACTAACATGACTAGATCTATCTTAATTTTGATTGTACTAAAAATATTTTTCTTTGTATCTTTTGAACTCATGTTTATTCAATTTGTTTATTTTTATTCTGTGAAGAAGTGTCTTACGCTAAGTCACGAGACGTCAGAAATCTAGCTTTTACTCATTGGGACTTTACAAATATATTATTTTCACTAACGATGTGTAGGGAGAAGCCACTGGCAGAAAGAATGTTCGTGCAATATGTACACCTAGTTTTCAGTCATACATTAGCATGTTCTGCAATTCAAATTGGTTCTAGACTGTCTTCTCTCGCTTTTCTTCTGGTCTTCGGTGTTCTGCATATGCCATGTTTTTTGAACTTCTGAAACTATTCTCTTTGGCTGTCGACTGTAGCAACCTCCATGAGACGCACTATATACTACTTATAAGCAATCTTGTGAGTACCAATAACCACAGAAAACCTCAATGCTTTAAAATTCTGATCTTATTTTAAATTAACTCTTAATCATTTACTTCTGATACTTAATTTAATTTGTTTGGTTTTTCTAACGCGTTGCAAGTAACTGACCAACTACAATGTTTTAACTCTATCAGCCCCAATTAGTAAATGACTAAGAAAATCCTTAGTCAGAGAAAAGAAATAGTGCAATTAACTTATGAAAAGACCAAATGCAACTAGCTATCTTAACCTAGTGAAATATTTCACTAAAATTAAATGGAATAATAATGAGACACGAGCATACAGTGAATGAGTTGATTCAAAATCTTGTGACCACATGTTCAATAATGAGTCAATAATTGGATACTGGTTAAGTGACTACAACTGGATGCATAAAAATATTTAACAAAAAATAACCATAAATATCAACAAACCAGGTTAGCAAAGAATCGCGATAAGAAACAAAATCCCGTCGTTTATTGACCAATCGGCATGGTGTTACTGAAAGCAGTGGACAAGTATCCTGAACAACTGAACGTGGTTCAGGGGATGGAAATGCCCTTCTCTTGTAAGTGATATTCTGGGAAAGTTGAGTGATTACTTTCCCGAGAGTAAACAACGACTTGTTGATTTGACAACTTTCCTAAAACACATGGTGAATAAAAGTGGACCTATAAAATTGCAAGAGCTCAATGAAGAAAATAATTACATAGGTCACTGACAACATAACCTTTTCAAAAACGTTATTTTAAAAATCAAAATAATATATTACAAGAAATGAATGAAAGAAATGGCAGTAAACACTGACAAATTTAATAGTTACGGGAAACATTATGACTATCAACCAATATTTTAGGCGTTTTTAGTAATGAGAAGAATCTTTTTCCCTTCAAACTTTCATATTGTTATTGGTCTGAATTATTGGAAACCCCATTCTACAAACCATACATGAACGCGTTGACAATTCCACTTATCTTGGAAGTCTGATCAGCCCTAATGGGTTGGTGTCTGACGAAATCTCAGCACGGATTCGAAAAGCTCGTTTGGCTTTTGTTAACGTGCGTCACCTATGGCGAAGGCGAGATATCCGTCTATCAATAAAAGGACGAATATACTGCACGGCAGTCCGTTATGTTTTACTTTACGGAAGCGAAACATGGCCATTAAGAGTCAAAGATACTCGTAAGCCACTAGGTCTTTGACCACAGATGCCTTAGAAATATTGCTGGTATCTACTGGGATCACCGGGTAAGTAATAGTGATGTTAAACGCAGGGTATTAGGAAATGATGGTAAATCAATTGACGAGGTTGTGAATCTTCATCGACTAAGATGGTTAGACCACGTGTGACGTATACCTGAACACCGATTACCACAACGCGCAATGATGAGTAGTGTTGGGGATGGTTGGAAGAAAGTTAGGGGCGGCCAAACCAAAACGTGGCATCAGTGCTTGAAGTCACTAAATTCTAGTCTGAGCCATGTTGGTAGATGCAGACTACTTGGTTGGGGTCCGCGTGACTATCGTAACCAATGGTTGGAGACTCTTGGTGACATGGCTCAGAATCGATCACAATGGCGTCGGTGTATACACTCTCTGTCTTCCCTTAAACTAAGAGATTAAAAACACTTCATATCTTTCTTTCTACGAACCAATTCTTTCTTCTTGTACTATATCTCCATATGCAATCTTTCTCTTATATATTACCACCTTTGACCCAACCACTGCTATGAATCCGGTGTTCATCTTGTTGTGCTGATGCGGTATGGCAACCTGGACCGATGCACATATGTGCCTGGTCCTACGTTGTAGCTGACTGACTGACTGACAAACCATACAACCATACTTCTGTAATTTTAAGTTAAGTGTACATAGAGTTGTACTTTTGCTAAATAGTAATCCTTTGCAGTCACATATCAGACGGCTTTCTGATAATCCTATTATCACATAAATTCACCCGTCACACCAGCAAATAATATTTAATCTTTACTATAATTTAAATGAATACTTCATTCGAACTAACAATTCCTAAACTATAAGACCTGTTACAAACCCTTTAAGAAATGAAAGTAAATCCCGGGTAACTGAGTAAGACTTTGAAAACAAGTGACTCATCCAGCCTTCGAACGAAAGAGCTTATTGTAACCGATCCGGAGCCTAAAGAATTGAACAATGAGAAATAAGAACCCGCCAGTTCTTAACTCTACCGAGTTTCGTCAAGCTGACACTTTGTTAAACTAGCTGTCCATTTAAATCTTGTCATAATTTCATAGTGACTAAAATATGAAGTAAATCTAGATAGACAACTAGTATAAATGAGTATGAATTATTTCACCTTTCTTATTCATAGCAAAATTTAAAATGGAGCTGAGTAAAAATCACGAAATTGTTACCCATTAAAAAGTTTTTACAATACTCCGTAAACAATGTCAAATAAAAACGGGCAAACCGGGCTTAAAATATTATATTTGACTCATATGCTATGTTAGTTTTTTGAAACGGAAAATCGGTACTTTAAATCGTTATTCAACTCACATTAGAGATAATAACAACAATAATAATCGCTTTATGCAACACCATAAGTTTGGTTACAGAAAATAATTCTCGGAATATTGAGTAGTTGCTATATATCTACATCTGAAAACGTCTCCAATCAGTTACGCCCCTATGATGTAGGAATCGAAATGTAATCCACACTCGTTTTAGAGGACAGATAAGAAATTATTCAAACTACTGTGGTGGTTGTGTGTTAACGTCACACTATTTAGCCTTCCAACACGTTGTAAGCATTCTAAATAAGAACATCGTGTAGTTATCATAGATAATTATTCAGTTAAAATAAATACGAAATGGGACAATTTATCCTAATATTTGTGCTGTCGGGTAGTACGTAGGTTATTTATCCGAAAGCCTATAACTCAATATAGGTTCTGGAAAATGTAAACTTTATAGTCTTCCCCTACTTACTGACCACATTTCAAGGATAGGAATAATGTATCTTAACTAAATCATTCAACAGAAACCAAAAGTTTAGTTCAATCATTTAGTCATACGCAAGTTGCCATACGGTACAAATCTTAGTACTTACTTTTAGTTCTTACATTTCATGCAAGTCGGTTAGTCAAACGCAAAGTAGAACGTGGTATGTGTGCATATCGGGCAAGTTGCCACACCCTATTAGCGATGAGGTGAAATTTCAAAGGAAAATCCCACAATGGTAAAACTAGTGAGTTTTGTTGGTAATAGGAAAGATTAGGCACTGAAGATACGATTCAAGAAATTAATTAATGAATTAAAGGAAAACTAAAAGGGATTTAGAAACTTAATATCTAAGGAAAGAATAAGAATAAATGTACCTATATCTTGAGCCATGTCATTCAAAGCCTCTTACCATTAGCTACGATAATTATGCTGATCCTAAACAGTTAATTTGCACCAACCTATATTGCTCAGTCCAACAGTTACAGCATTCAAGAACTGATGCTACGTTTTGGGTCGATCAAGCCTAGCTTTTTTTTCAACATACTTCTACATCAGACATCAGCCATAGAAGTATGCGGTTGATAGATATACGTAATGCATATCCAAGACACCTCAGCCAATGAACATTCACTACCTCACTAATCGATTTCCCATCCATAGCTAGAAATTTAAGTATAACCTCTGAGTTGCTAACCCGACGGTTCCAAAATACACAGGAAATGCTATGAAAACATCCACAGTCAAGTACCAGTAAACAACGAATATCCTACTCTTAGGGACCACGTTTCAAAACCATAAAGTAGAATGAAGTGAACTGCTATACAGTAAATCTGTCCTTGCCTATACCACGGGTGACGCAAGTTGGCAAAAGCCAACAAGGCTTTCTGAATTCGTGTGAAGATTTTGTTTGACACTAACCCACCAGGGTAGGTGAAATTAGTTCACTAAGCAACATTTTTCAATGAGTAATACTTTTAGTGATACCCAGAAAATGGAACTCAAACTTGCAGTCAGGAATACATTATGAAGGAGAACTAAAATATTAGTATTCCAAAAATGTCGCAGTTAAAAGTAGATAACATTGGTACGGATAAATCATCAATAGCTTAAGCTAACTGCTTATCAAGAAAACACCGTTTTGGATAAAGCCCATTAGAAGATGGGTGAGTAGTGACATTGTTATTTATTGTGTTGCAGAACACTAGGTCTACTTTTTCGAAGAAGTAAATTTGACTCACTGAAAACACATTCATTGCCACGATGTTGTTTAATAGTTGAATGTACTTTCTTATACTTACTATTAAGTGTCAAATTACTAAACACTCAAAAATCCTGCAAAAATAAATCTTTCCAGACAATATATCAACCGCCAAAACACTGGAATGGTTTGAAAATATTTACTTTAAAATGCAATACACCACCTACATTCTTAATAATTAAAAAAAATAATTAAAAAACACTAGAAACTAATCGTGTAATTTATTTATTACCACTGCTATTAATAAGTACATAGAATCACTGAATACAACTAACATAAATCCCAATATATGAACTATCTTGCAAAATAGTACTCAAATATAATATAAACTTACAATAAAACGTCCACTCAAAGTAGATGTAGATGTTTGACGTTCACTTCCAGCGAGATCAACAATGGTTATGTGACTATTAAAAACGTTTTCAATATCTCCTAAAAGACATTTAGTCTGGAAAAGTTCAAATCAGATAAAGTGTACGTAACCAAAACATAGCTTCGTTGTCATATTCACAAACACTAAATTAGTTAACAACAACAGTAAAATGGATCTAAGTTTGTATTCTGGCTCGGTGAACAGATAATGATGATCGTCTGTTTCAACTGTGCTCAGACAATCGTTTATTTTTAGCAAGCACTAATTTTAAGGATAAGGAGAGACATCGTATAACATGGTGACCGCCTGCACCAAATCAACAATGGAGTCAAATAGACCATATTGCCATCAGTCATCGTTGGAAAGGTTCAATAGAAGACTGTCGCTCGTTCTGGAATACCTGTTTGGACTACGATCATGCTCTAATACGAGCACACATATGCTTGCGCCTCGCTGGACGCACCAAAACCACATTAAGACCCATTAGAGTCGAACTTGATGACGAGGAAGCAAAAAGTAGGTTCCAGGAACAACTGAGGTCACACTTAGGTAGTTCTGAAAACGAGGCTGACCCAGGTGTTGCTTAGAAAGGTATACGAACAGCTGTGGAAACAGCAGTAACATCTACTAGTGATTTCAACCAAAGGGTTATGAAAAACGCTCTCAAGTCACTAGAACCATTCCTAACCCGATTTCCTTTCCAGATAACTCTAAAAGAACCCTTCCACAGTGTGAGAAACCGGGAGGTGATAACCGCCACCGTACCTTTAACAGCACTCAATATCACGGTATTCATAATCAATCTCCCTCTTCAATTTGTATTATTTCTCCTATGTCGACTTTCGACTCTAAACTTCCTCTTTTCACTTCCTCCTCCTTCCACTGGCTTCAGACCTGGTCGTGGCTGCATAGACCACATATTCACTATTCGTCAGGTTCTAGAACACAGGCATGTTTATCGGCGTCCGACAACAATAGTTTTTCTTGACTCAAAAGCAGCATTCCACTCTATAGACCGAGAAATTCTGTGACTGTCTGTCATCGAAAGGTGTACCTCAGAAGTACATAAACCATGTGAAGGCTCTTTACTCGAACACCGCTAGTCGAGTCAGAGCTTATGACGAACTGTCATTTGTTTTTACAACCTCAAGTTGTGTCCGTCAAGGCTGTCCACTATCTCCATTTTTGTTCAAATTCATCATGGATGTACTGATGGAAACAACGTTCAGGTCCACTGAATAATCGGGAATCCATCTCCAACCAGGATGTTTACTTACCGACTTAGAATATGCAGATAACATAGTCCTGTTTGGTGAAGATGTTGATAAAATGCAGAGCCTTTTCATAGCACTGAGCAACAATGCCAGAATGTTTGGGATGTGTTTTTCCACCTCTAAATGCAAGTTATTGTCCCAGGACTGACATGCGTCAACATCTGAACTAAGGACAGTGAGTGAAATAGTCGGACGCGTCGACAACTTCACTTATCTTGGAAGTCTGACTAGCTATGATGGGTTGGTGTCTGACGAAATCTCTGCACAGTTTCAGAAAGTTCGTTTGGCTTTTACCTACTTACGTCACATATGGTAAAGGCCAGATATCCGTCTATCAATTAAGGAACAAGTATACCGTGCAGTAGTTCGTTCTGTCCTACTTTACGGCCGCAAAACGTGGCCATTAAGAGTAGAAGATTCTCGTAGGTTACAAGAATTTGATCACCGATGTCTTAGAAATGTAGCGCGTATCTGCTAGGATCATCGGTTAAGTAATAGTGATGTTATTTTATACCTTTCTTTTTCCGAACTAATTCTTTCTTCCTTCTTGACAAAATGTTACTTATATTAACACAAATTCTGATTGTGGAATCAATAACGTATAATTCATTTACATCGTAGTTGTGATGTAACTGTCATATAGAACGTTATTATGCGTTTAACGAGTAAACTTCTCTATGAATGTAGTAAAAACTCATTTATGCACACCATCATAATGGTTAAGGGTTATGAGACAACAACAGGGTAACACTAGATTTAAGTCCGTCATAAGCAATATAAAACCTGGCACATGTGTACATTGATCAAAGTCGCTCAAACACAGCGAAGTGCAATTAAGAGGAATACCAAAGTAGTAGTACTGAGTACCAGTGACAGATGAAAACACTAGACATACACAACATGATCCGAGAAAAGATAATTATTTCGAGTAATAAATGAAAAAATAATTTAGAAACTCAGAATCTAATGGGAGATTAAGAGTCGATATACATTAATCATCCCACCCAACTTCTAAAACAGTCACGACAATCAAGCACAGTTCAACTAAGTAGTCTTTACTTACCAAAATGATTCGGGTCGACAATAACAGTTGAGGGTATGACCATATTTATTTATTTTATTTATTTGAACACATAGATATCGGTAAAAGCAGGCACCAAATACATATGCGCAACACATCTCATTCGATATGTGTGAGGGCTGTGATACTGCTCGGGTGCCCAAACCGAAGGAGGTGGTTTTCTTAGGGCGCCACACCTGGAGCCTTCGAACCAATGGTCTGATCCACAAGGCAGTGGAGCATCGTAAGGAGATGCAGTCCCATGGAAGCCGGTGACCAACAATTGGTTTATACGCCATTTGTTCCTTCAGGATACCGGAGCCCATGTGCAACATTGGTTTGAAATCAGGGTTTTCCAACTCCTCTAGGTGGACTCTCCATGTCCACAAGCTCGGTTCAAGCGACGGATATTCGCTTTTTGTCCTCTCAATTTCGTAAACAACACCCCCGACACGAGAAGTCAGTGAGTAGGACTTCCCTGGAAGAGGCTACATACACATGGCCATGTGAGAGCATTTCGAGAGGGAGAGCGGACTTTCCCCACTCTCGGCCGTACCAGGGCATTTGGGGGCTATGATCATAAGCTACGGGATGCTAGAAACACTGAAGCCGAAATTTCACCTCATAATCTACAACCCTAACAAAGAAATATTTCAAGATAAGGCTCTAAATGTTTATAATATCGCTTACTTGTCATAAGTTCAGGGAATCAAAACTCCTACTTCTAATAGTTATCGATATTTTATTATAAAATATATATAGTACAACTTTATTGTTACTTTTGGCAATGCTACGGTATGATAGAATAAGAGATCACTCAAATTACTCATTTTGATTAATCGAATGTTTTGTTATCTAGATAATTCCTAACGAAGCCGATATTTCACACTAGTTTCCGTGCACTGTACACTCGATCAGCCAGTTTATAAATATTAGGTCAACGAATAGAGAAAATTATATCCAATAAAGAGCTCACATGGAATTTTTCGAAGGCATTAATCGTGTAAAAAAAGGTTGAAATCTAACTAATGCTCATCATATATACATATGCTAAATAATAGTATATTACTTTCGACATTAATGAACGGATTCAAGGTTATTACAACTAATAACAATATGAAAATGCAGAAACATGACAGAACGGATGATCGATTAAATGTCCAGCTGTTTGAAATCCTTCGCATGTACTCTGAGTGAATGAATTCTTATTACCAGTAAGTCGCTGCAAAGTAATTTACAGATTTTTATCATCTATGCGATGCAATAGTAGAAAAGTTTATGAAACTTACAGTTGAACGCTTCGTCAGTGATAATACGAGTACGGTGTGTGAGCGACTGCTGTTTTCGTTCAGAGGCGTGGCAGCCACAGCACGTAAACGATTCCCAAAATCAAGTCGTTTTATGATATCCGATTCAGAACAAACCTCTTCACATAACAAACCATCGATATATGGGCCAGTTACTGGGTGTTCACGAACTACAAGCTGGAATTTAAACGATAATAAACATGGATAATAACAATAAATTAACACTTTTTAAATAGAAAAGGATTCTTTCATAGGTAGTAGGAAACCAAAACTTCTTTTAAATCAAAAACCAGTTACGTTAATAAGCTAGAAAAGATTAGCCGATTTTAAAAGATACCAACTACGAACAAATTGCGAAAGACGTTATTTACGATGGTACTTCGACATGAAATCTTCCCAGAATATGGAGGCTCACATACCGAATTCTAAATGGTATCCAATCATGTTCGAGGCAGTAAAATTATGTTGATTAAAAAATCCAGACTTTTTAACTAATGAAAGTCAACCGTAGCCAACATAAAGCGTGGCACAAATTTATGTTCTCATATTCTACCAGCACGGCTAGATTAAATTAGCAAAGTGGATAGCAAGAATCTAAACAATAGTACTGTAAATGAAGGTAAGAAAGATTAATAATGGGAGAATATAGTGTGATATGAGCTCAATAGATAAAAAGTATGAAACATTATCAAAGCTCAAGATTAGTAGAAAGATAGAAACCGTACTCACTTGCACCATTATGACATCCTAAGCCATGTCAATGTCTACGAACAGTCAATCATAATGAACGTAGAGCCCGGCACAAATTTATTTTAACTCGTTTCCACACCCCATTAACACGATGAGACGAATTTAAGATGAAAGGCAAAGGGACTGAAACTATGCAGTACTAGTGATGTTGAAAGACTAAATATTGAGAATATGATTCCGAAAGAAAGAGTGGAAAGGTATATATGAAGGAATACTAGGACTAAAGATGTATAGAAAAATGGCTGAATGCATCCGTGCCAGTGACCGATTATGAGCTGTCACGAAATATCTTCGAGCACAGATCGCAGTTATTGTGCGAATCTATGCTAAGTATTACATTCTTCTACGCAGCTTAGACCAGTAGTCAATGAATTCACAGACTTGCTTTCTAACTAGTGTACCATAGTAACTGATGATCAGTCCTAATGGTTTGGTGTCTGACGAAATCTCTGCCCGGATTCGAAAAGCTCGTTTGGCTTTTGCCAACTTGCGTCACATATGGAAAGGGCCAGATATTCGTCCATCAATTAAGGGACAGGTATACTATGCGGCAGTTCGTTCTGTTCTACTTTACGGCTGCGAAACATGGCCATTAAGAGTCAAAGATACTCGTAAGCCACTAGGTCTTTGACCACAGATGCCTTAGAAATATTGCTGGTATCTACTGGGATCACCGGGTAAGTAATAGTGATGTTAAACGCAGGGTATTAGGAAATGATGGTAAATCAATTGACGAGGTTGTGAATCTTCATCGACTAAGATGGTTAGACCACGTGTGACATATACCTGAACACCGATTACCACAACGCGCAATGATGAGTAGTGTTGGGGATGGTTGGAAGAAAGTTAGAGGCGGCCAAACCAAAACGTGGCATCAGTGCTTGAAGTCACTAACTTCTGGTCTTAGCCATGTTGGTAGATGCAGACTACTTGGTTGGGGTCCGCGTGACTATTGCAACCAATGGTTGAAGACTCTTGGTGACATGGCTCAGAATCGATCACAATGGCGTCGGTGTATACGCTCTCCGTCTTTCCTTGAACTACGAGATTAAAATTGCTTCATATCTTTCTTTCTACGTACTAAATCTTTCTTCCTGTACTATATTCTTACATGCAATCTTCTATATATTACCACCATTGGGTTAACTGCTTTTATAAATCCAAGGTTCATCTGGCTGTGCTAATGCGGTATGGCAACTTGAACCGATGCATTTATGCGCCTGGTCCTACGTTGTAGCTGACTGACTGCCTGAGGACTTCTGCTGAAACATGTTCTCTTTCCCATTTCTACTACCGTTTATTTTTTTTAACTTCTGCTACCCATGAATTTCTACTGAGTTTTATTTTTCTGTGATGTGACATGGTAACGTGAACCGATACACGTGTGTCAGGTTTCACACTGAGCATGATCGACTGACAGATTTCCTGAAGCACACTCCGGATGCAAAAAAATATCAGCCAGTAGTGTTTTGATTCAGGTTTTCGCTTCCCAACGGTGTAGAAACAGAAAATCAATAGTCCTACAAAAATTACTGTTCACAAATAATGGGGGTTAATATCAAAGCAAAATGAGGTAATTTTTATCTTACCCCGTTTCTAGTAAAGTTCGACGAGAGGAGGTCACGTATTCGTTCATTATATATCTCATAATAACTCATTTTAACAGAAAAACTTGTAGTGGATTCCTAAATTAACATCAAACAGCATCAACCACCAAGAATACCGTTCTTCTTCCAATTTCCTCGAACATGTCTTTTGAAATCCTCCGGATTATTCCTGGATCATCAGGAGGTCCAGTTATACTATATTTAAAAGATAGAAGGAATAATAAGAAACACATGGAGAAATGACTTAGTATTTGTGGACGAACTAGTCAGATTTAAGATAAGAGTCTTTGATCTTGGCGCGGAGATCATCCACCAAACTGGTTAATTAGCATTTTGGCATCACAGATTGTCAGTTCGTTTATTTATTTGAACACATAAATACTGTTACAAAGGGGCACCAAATACATATGCGCAACACATCTCATTCGATATGTGTGAGGGCTGTGATACTGCTCGGGTGCCCAAACCGAAGGAGGTGGTTTTCTTAGGGCGCCACACCTGGAGCCTTCGAACCAATGGTCTGATCCACAAGGCAGTGGAGCATCGTAAGGAGATGCAGTCCCATGGAAGCCGGTGACCAACAATTGGTTTATACGCCATTTGTTCCTTCAGGATACCGGAGCCCATGTGCAACATTGGTTTGAAATCAGGGTTTTCCAACTCGCCTAGATGGATCCTCCCTATCTATCAACCCGGACAGTCGCTTTTTGTCCTCTCAATTTCGTAAACACCCACGCCGCGAGAAGTCAGTGAGTAGGACTTTCCTAGCAGTGGCTATGTGAAAGCATTTCGAGAAGGTGAGCTGACTCGCCACTGTCGGCCGTACCAGGGCGTGATAAAAACCCTAAATCTATCTCCTTACCCTAACGTACAGCTGTAAATCCAAATCCTGATTCCTCACACCACTATGGGATTTGAATCGAAAATTGTATCTCTGTGCTAATGTGGTACGGCAACTTGAACTGATGTACATAAGTACGAAGTTCTGCGTTTTTGCTGTCTGACAATTTAGCACCGCCCAAAGGTCGTCCATATATCCGTCTAACCGTTAAGTAGATAATAGTGAACCCCTCAAGAACTTAGAGTACGGGAATAGTGTAGCTCGTTTGTCAAGCACAGTTTACGTACTTAGACTTCAGCAACAAGTTTTTGTATGAGGATTAATAATTTTGCTCAGTTAGAGAAACTTAATTAAGCCAAACAGTTTGGAAATAGAACTGAGTAGGTGAAAGTCAAGAGCTTTAACTACCGACCAGAACGACCAAAACTTTCTACTTGCAAACTAATAGAACACTGCAAAAATAGAACTTCCAGTAATTTCAATAGATTTGAAACAATAAAACTGGATAGACAATAGACAAATAAGAATATAGTTTGAAGATACAAAAAGTACTACACCCACAGAAATAACTGCGTAACCACATGTTCAAGTCTTTTCCCTATCACCTTTTGTTTTCCTTTCAAGTAGAACACATTGTTCTACAGTTGCCATAAATTTGTTAGATATATCTCAAACTTGAGGATTAGGAATGGGATCTATAAAAGATGACTTGACAAACTGAGTAAATATCCTCCAATGTGCGTTAAAAAGCACACCAATCGGTGTTTTATGCACTTGGATTTGAGCAACTTCGTGAGTGCTAAAGATACTTTTTTACTGCCTAAACTAAAGTAGGAGAAGAGTGAACAAACAACCTATTGATTGAACCCTTATCCTTTGGTCGCATCTGAAATCCTAAGGATAAAACTATTCCTCATGAATATTTATATAATGAAAATCAAAGATGTTTACCTATATGTTTTCCCAGAAGAAGTCATTCCATATGCGAAAAGGCATGCATTGTAACCATCCAAAGCTCTTAATAACAGTGGAAGCCCAAGTGTTCGGTACACAAATTCCTGACTTGCATGTGGCACAAGACTTGATCCATCGTTAAGTGACCAAAATGTGTGGTCGAATTGAAACTCACGAACACTGTTATTCTTAACATTGGGTTCGAACACACGGACAACACCTGGTTTAGGAATCCGAACAAGGCACTGTAGGTTGTTTAAGGCCTCTCTGAATACATAACCTTAGGTCAGACGACTTACAGTTTCGTTAAAGGCCTTATCCTAACAGCGACAATAATTGACGACTCCATAAGGAACGGACTATCGATTCGAATGAGTTTTCGCGCCTTTTAAACAAATGCTCGGGAATTCAGTCCTGAATAATTGCGACCAATTTATGGTGACCTGGATATACCTCAACTATCTGTTCAGTTACAGTATCTTATCAATTAATCAATAGAAAGAGGAAAGATCACATTGTCTTAACGACAGTTTAAGTAACTCAAGATGTCAATTAAGATGTTATATTTGTATCCAGAAACCCGAGGGGTTCAAGCCTGTGTTATTCGCTTCTTACTATGTTTCTCGGCCCCTTCATTCATGACTTTTGACTTGATTGTGTTGGTGTCCTATTATAAAGGTGTTGCGGGTAAACATGCTGACCAGCGCAAATTCTCTGTGACATCTTTTATAGTAAGCCCAACACGATCTGGTTCACTAAATAACGATTGTGAGTACGTTTCTTGATGGAACACTATACATATCTCTCAGTCTTTATTTTTACATATGTTGATATTATTCTTATATTTTAGGATATTTATTTTCCCGCTCATTTGTATACTTTATCTACATCATGACAAAACAGACGTTCATGGTGATGAAAAAGTGATCCGTGCCTTCGGCGGACGATGGGCAGCAAACTTCAGCTGTCCTTCAACGATTGCTACGAACCGTGGACACAAGTTCGAATCCGCACTTTTCCGTCGTCTTACTGCACTACTGGGAACCAACTACCATCCACAAGCTAACGTGTGGTAGAACGATTTCACTGACATTCGGAAGCTTCACTCTCACCTGCAAACACCTCTTAGTGGACTGACGCCCTATCACTCTTTTCACTCGGCATTCGCAATGCAATGAAAGCTGACATTGGATACACTACGGCTCAACTCATCTACGGAACAATAGTCTGATCTCCAGGGAAATTTGTGGTGGCCGGTGCTGTGTCAGGCCCACATAAGCAATTCTAGCTTCTGGACAGACTAGTTTATTCATTCTGTTCAGGTCATATCTTGACCACATTTGATTAGAACGAGTTGGCACAACCGCCTTCTCCACCGCGCATCATTTAGTTTTGCTTACCTTTCTACTCTCCGCTTCTTTCGCCTCGTTTCTCTGACTGTCTGTCCAGATCGACGATTTCATGGAATGTACATATTTGAAATTTGTTATGGTATTTGACTTATTGTATTCCGTTGTTCACTAACGCAAGTTGAGTTGGTGAATATATACGAGGCCAGTTGAGATGTATATTTAGATGACAATCAGAGTGCAATCTAACTGCAGTCAGATAGATGGCTACAACAGATTCATGGATCCTTCATCTTCTTCACTGTTTATGGTTCGAAACTCTTACATAAGCAGGCTTGCAAACACCATGCACTCAGTTCGACCTGTTTCCACTCGTCCACCGTGAATTGATGTATTCGTTCGACTTGTCCCACGATATAGCATACAAGTTTTTACATGTTGCGATTCATTGCGACAACTCTCAGAATGGCATATGAAGGGCCTTCAAAGTTCTACATCGTAAACCTAAATAATATATCACTGACAAAAGCGAAACTAACAATAATATCGGTATTGATTGTCATAACATTTTGTTTTATTGCGATAATTAGAAGTATTTGAATTGTAACACGAACTAAGAATCCCCAAAATAGCGTAACTTAGACCAAACGGTACTACATGAACACAGGAAAACGTATTGTATTTGGAATTCAATATCAGGCGCATATCAAGTACAAAGGGTCCATTAGTTCATAAAATCACCACAACTGTCACAGCTTAAATTGGAATCTAAGTTTCTGTTATCGATTTTACGCCTCCTTCCTAAGTTCATTGTATGGATGTCACATTGCGTATTGGATATACTCATCAAGATTAGAATTAACAACTAAATTTTCAACAGACTCAACTGGGTCCTGGAAATGTATATGATCAATATGTCGGCTGTGTACTGAAACCACTGATATCTGGAATTCCAACCATAGATTTTCCAACACTATCCTCCCGACGAAATAATGTAAGGTCCTTATGTCACAAGGTCATGACCAATTTGACATTCCCAATTCGCATCATCTCCTCATACCTCACACTTCGATTATAGTATGTGAGAATTTGAGGACACACTGACATAATTTAAGACATTCCATCGTGTAACTTCGACTTACACAAAGCTATGATACATATTCTTTTTACTTCTCACGTTAGAATATGTAAGGCCGTTGTTCCAGTTATCAGATAAATATGCAGTGATACGTGCAATTAACACATGTGATTCATCTAGGCTTTATTCACCTGCAAAACAATCAAGTGGAAAATATGCATTTGTCTCATGCTCATTAAGACAACTTTGGACTCGATCTGAATTCCCCGCCTGTGCAGACTTCATATCTGGCCAAACTGGTTCTCTGACTGCTCCGGGAAAACTTGCTATTCTCTCTGAATCATCATACCACTGACTAGGGATTCTACTCGGCACACACTAGTTGTGAGAATATCTAACATCTGATACTATAACATCAGAAACGTGACTATAGTTCTAGTGATTCGGAACATATTTGTTATACTCATTAAGGATATCACTGAAGATAAATCCATTATGAGGACAGATAACAGCTGATGCGACACCATAAGGACTACAATCGAATTTTGATCCATTTAGAACCTGATCCTGACACTTAATTGACATTTAAGTAGAAATAAATGAATCGCTAGGACAAACTACATCTGACAAAATGACATCAGAGTTCTGATCAGGATTTGGTGCACTCGATATATCTTCCATATATTTGTAAATAATCTCATTGGAAATACATGAGTCATGAGAACAACGCATGTTGGGTAAAGCAATGTCATGAGTCTGATCAGAGTATAATTCATTTGGAACATTTAACTTAATAGGATCGAAACTACAAAGTTAAACATTACTTGCAGAGAAATTAATGTTAATTCTACTAACTGGCTGGATGTGTCCAATTTTACCACATTAAAGGCATTTAGCACTATGAAATACACATGAGGTACATGAGTGAAATTTTCCACAGGACAAACATTCACTAGACTTGTGCTCATCTTCGCGACATGCTTCGAAACTCCTCAATGAATTTTTATCGGGATAACTTTGAGTACGCATTGGATTGGGATGACGTAGTAATGTAGTGGGATTATTATTGTCCTGATTAGTCACTATATGAAATTTTCCTCCTTTGCCACACTCGAAATTTATAGACTTTACATGGTCTAGCATTAGTTTGCAGTGTGGCGTCGAGTCGCGGTTGGCTATGCTCACCACTACAAGAAGACTACGTGCCAGTTAACCGATAAGATCCCCCGCAAGCCAAATATCAGAAGGCAGTTGATGGCTGTAGTCGAGATGTATTCGTTGGCGACCTCGTGGTATCGAAGGAAAACCGAGATCGTGCCAAAGGAGTACAAGTGTGGTTAATGAGAGCAACCGAATCCGTTCAAGTTCACAATCAAAGGAGGGAGGAATGTCTTTAGTACAGATAAACAAGCAAGTTGAGTAAAATAATCACTGGTACAATTGGTTATAATAATAATTGTTTCCATTAAACCAATCTCGTTCTCTTGATAAAAGTTGGGCACTACAAGTTCCTTGAGAGTTGCATAAGGAAGTGAAATAGGCGTTTGCTGAATTGCCAAAGGTTTTGGTAAACTGTAGGCTTCTTTCCAGATGAATGTGAGGAAATGTGCCACAATTTTATCATCCTTCATATCTTTCTGGACTGAGTCCAGATTTTGAATCTTTCCATAAAATCCTCGAAAGCTTCAGAATTTGGATGTGTCCAACTGTTCCATCACAGGCTCCATCACGACGCCAATATGATAACTAGAAGTATTTGAATTATTATACGAACTAGGAATATCCGAAATAGCGTAATTTAAACCAAACAGAACCACGTAAGCACAAGCGAAAGTATTGTATTTAGGATTCGAAATCTGGCAGCAAATCAAGTACAAAGGACTCATTAGTTTATGTGAACACTACAGTCTGGTTTTTACAGTTAATGCACTATAGATGTTTATCACCCCTGCTTTTGATCCGTAAACTGTTTTTATTTTATTATTTACTTCTAACACAAGTAGTAATTGAAACATGCAAATGTGGTGACATCAGTTTTTAGTTTTCCATAAAATATTGTATCGGTTAAACATTTATGGATTCAGTGATGTCAGTTATTTATATCATGAAGAAAACTTTGTTGTTTTTGACCTATTTGATCATTGTTATAAATGCCTATAAACATTGTTTTTCCACATATGTGCATAAATGTGATTATTTTCTTTATTGATTTGGAGTTGTTGATCTAAATATGCAATAATATACAAGAAAGAACTTGTCTCCATTTAGATTCAAACCAGTTATTATGGAGGTCTATAGGGCAAACTGTGAGCCAGATGTAAAGAAATTCGAACACTACAGTTCTACCTAAAATTTGTGCTAGTGGTATCATTAATAAGAACGATGAAAGCTCCACAAAGGAACCATTCAATTCAGAGGACAATACTACATAAAAACTTAACACATGCATGTAAGTGACTAGTCTGAAAATAAGGGAAGTTTTTAGTAGCCTGCTTAAAACTTTCATCAACCAATTACAAAATCTCAAAAAATCGATGTGAATCTAATCAGGTTGCACACAAGAAATACTGGCACTCCAAACGATGGATATAAGGAGGCTTGTTGACATTATCAACGTCTAGAAGGAACTGAAACGAACACAAATAAAAGTGGCAAGAATGAAAATTGGATAGGAAAACATCCCAGCATGTGGCAACGTATCATACTGCTGGAATGAGAAATAACATCAGAAAACTAAAATTTTTGGTGGATGAGTTATTTCATCGAATGTTGAAAAATGTAAGTCGTCCACACAATCAACTCGCCACACATCCAGCTCACATTAACAGTGCAAATGTGGTGAAAAGACGTACTCCCAAGTTTTTCAAATAATAAGAACTGTGACGAAACTGCAAGTTGGACAAAAGTAAGCATAGAATATAA